AAGCACGTCTAGTTTGCTTACTTGTTTGGACCTCCACTATGTCCTCGTATGTTTCTTCGACGATTTCGTCGAAAATTTCCTCCAATCTTTCATCGAGCCCATCGGATGATGATGATGACATTGTAGGTATCCCTCCTTTTGAAAAAGGAAATATTATTAATTTTGAAAATTTTCGAAATTTATAAATTGATAATAACTCATCTTAACTCATATTTTCGAAATTTTTAAATTGGTAATAACTCATCTTAACTCATCTTTTCAAAAATTTTAAATTGATAACTCAATTTTTGAAAATTTTTAAATTGATAACTCATCTTTTGATAATTTTTAAATTCATAACTCATATTTTGGAAATTTTTAAATTGATAACTCATCTTTTGATAATTTTTAAATTCATAACTCATATTTTGGAAATTTTTAAATTGATAACTCATCTTTTGGGAATTTTTAAATTCATAACTCATCTTTTGAAAATTTTTAAATTCATAACTCATCTTTTGGGAATTTTTCAATTGATAACTCAGCTTTTGAAAATTTTTAAATGGATAAGTCTTCTTGTTATCTAATGTCTACGAAATTATAAAGTTCAAAAACAAAGAAAAAATGTTTGGTTTTTGCTAACCGTTTTGAAAGTTGTTGACACTACGAAGGTAACCCTAATTTACAAAATGATGCCGAAATCGATTGAAACCCAATCCAGAAACCTTTAATTGACACTACGAAGGTAAAAAATGATCTAAATCGAAGAAAAATACTCCTCGAGGGTTCGATTTACCTTCGTCGATCCGATTGAGAGAAATCGCCACCGAATCGCCTTCTCCTCTCGAGACCTTTTTTTTTTTCTTTCTCTCGCGAAATGATTTGTTTTTTTTCGACTAAACCCGACTTCGACCGAACCGGAGTGAGCGAGAGCACGCCACGTGTGCTAAGAGGCAGCCTCTTAAGCCTCTTCCCGACGGACCAATCCTTGCGAAAATTAACCAAAATATTATTATTAAATTCCTCAAAACCTAAGGATTAGTGCTAAGGAACACCATTGCACATGGTCTAATACTTCTCTGCCGATGTGTTAAATTTAAAACACAAATTTACACGTAACTGTAAATTGAACGGACGGTAAATGAAACAAAATAGGAGGCAGGAAGATGTAGGACCAACTACCCATTTTTGGAATTCAGTTGGTGGTGGTGACTAGTGTATTAAACCACAATTAATAATCATCAATTGGATTTTAAGCTAAACAAATTAATTGATCTTATTGTTTATTTAAGAGACATTTCTTTGTACATTTAAAATTTATTAGTTCTTTAAAGTGATTGATTATAAGTCATTTGCTTTTTTTTTGAATAAAATGTAAAATTTATTCAGAAAAGTACTTGTTTACAGACAGTGCTATTGCTGTGAAAGAATTTAAAGGACTGGATTACATCAAAACTAGGTACGAGTAGCAAGCCAAGCCTGAAACTAGGATTATAAGTCATTTGATGTGTTTTGTAACTTGATGTGTTCCCATAGGTTAGTTTTAATATCTTTTGTAACTTTTTTTTTTGTTTGAAACTAGTATCTTTGTAACTTGAATATATACAAACATATACTAATGTTGTAATTTATAACACACACGTGACTTATAGTTGAATTACTAATGATGAGGACAATTTCCTGTTCTATTTTCTTGCATTTTCTTTCTTCCAAAACAAAAATATGATAGGCACGTACGTGTACATGTCTATAAAAAATATTAAACTTTCACTTTTTAAGTGTTCTTTAAGATTTTTTTTCTTTCATTTTTTGCATGCATAATAATCAGTTTGTACGTGTAACTGTAGACCCAGATCAACTTACTTTAGTGAAACGAGTCGTTAGTTGTGATTCATTATTCTTTTTTGTCACGCTTGTGTGCTCGACTAATATTATTAATATTTGAGTTTATGCTATGGTTCCCAATATTTCAATTAATATCACATGAGAAACCGTTTTAACAAGATTTGATAATGTCAACGTAAAACATTTTATGTATATATAACGCGTAATACTTCTCTGCCGATGTTTAAAATTAAAACACAAATTTTGGAATGAAACAAAATAGGAGGTCGGTGGATGGATCCATACTTGAATATGTGGGGGGGGGGATCAACTACCCATTTTTGGAATTCAGTTGGTGGTGGTGACTAGCGGATATTTCTATACATTGTATGTATTAAACCACAATTAATAATCATCAATTGGTTTTTAAGCTAAACACATTGATCCGATTTTTTATTTAATAGACAATGACGCGTTTTTAAGTTTCTTGACAATCAAATTACATATGTAAAACTAAGCTTGAACAAAATTTCAACCATATATCTCTTCTTCCTTGTGGTCGAAAAACCTCCGTGTTTTTTCCCCAACTTTAACAAATCTATTTAGGGAAAATAATACTATATATAAAAACATATATATATATATATATATATATATATATATATATACATACAATGTTTTACGTTGATGTATACGTGTTTGTGATGTGATATTATTTGAATTATTGGGAACCATAGCATAAACTCAAATATTGATAATATATATTAGTCGGTTACACAAGCGTGGATCTGGGTCCACAGTTACACGTACGAAGTGGCTATTATGCATGCAAGAGATGAAAAAAAAATCTTAAAGAACACTTAAAAAGTGACAGTTTAAAATTTGTATATACACATGTATACGTGCCTATCATATAATATAATTTCGATAATATCTTATAGTTTATATTTCTGTTGGAAAGAAAGAAAATGCAAGAGAACAGAACAAGAGATTGTCCTCATCGTTAGTAATTCAACTATAAGTCACGTGTCTATNGCAAGAGAACAGAACAAGAGATTGTCCTCATCGTTAGTAATTCAACTATAAGTCACGTGTCTATTATAAATTACAACATAGTATATGTTTGTATATATATGTTCAAGTTACAAAGATACTTGTTTCAGTTTTTACCAAAAAAAAGATACTAGTTTCCAACAAAAAAAAGTTACAAAAGATATAAAACTAAACTATGGAACTTAATGAACAAAACACATCAAATGACTTATAATCAATCAGTTTAAAGAACTAATAAATTTGTACTTTCATGTATATATTGGAATATTATATGACATGAGTATTTTGTGTAAATTCTTTTTCTTCGGATACAAGTTTGAAAGCCTTTTGAAAATAAGAAGAAAAAATCTTCTTTTTGAAAGCATCATCATGCCAACCAGTTAGGTTAAGTTTACCTGAAACCACTTAATTATAATTAGTTAAATGGACGGTCACTGCTAAAGTTGTTTCCTCTTTTGTTAACGCGTAAACATTTCCAACTTTGTTAATACGAAGATGTGACTCTGGTTTCGTTAAGTTTTCTCCTTCTTGACGAAGTATATACACTAAATGGTAAGAAAGGTTAATGACGAGGCGAATGAAAAAAAAAAGAGGTGGAGCGATGGAGACAGGAGGGATTTGTATTTAGTTAACACACTTCCTCTTTTTCAAGAAAGTACACGACTGGTAATAGTGTATAAAATAAAAACATATATATATATATACATACAATGTTTTACGTTGATGTATACGTGTTTGTGATGTGATATTATTTGAATTATTGGGAACCATAGCATAAACTCAAATATTGATAATATATATTAGTCGGTCACACAAGCGTGGATCTGGGTCCACAGTTACACGTACGAAGTGGCTATTATGCATGCAAGACATGAAAAAAAAATCTTAAAGAACACTTAAAAAGTGACAGTTTAAAATTTGTATATACACATGTATACGTGCCTATCATATAATATAATTTCGATAATATCTTATAGTTTATATTTCTGTTGGAAAGAAAGAAAATGCAAGAGAACAGAACAAGAGATTGTCCTCATCGTTAGTAATTCAACTATAAGTCACGTGTCTATNGCAAGAGAACAGAACAAGAGATTGTCCTCATCGTTAGTAATTCAACTATAAGTCACGTGTCTATTATAAATTACAACATAGTATATGTTTGTATATAT